TACTTACCTCACTGGAAGCTGAATATTCTCAACAACTTGCACTGTGAATGCTCAACAGTAACTAATTTCTGAATAAATGTCTATACAGCACATAAGAATGCTGCTGATATGAACTGAGAGCTTCCCAAATCATTGAGTATAAAATGAAACACTTATGGGACAGTTAATTTCAATGTTTTTAGCAGAACAATAGAATGAAATTCTCCTGTAAGACCTATACATAAGCAGACAAGAGATTTGGACCTGATTAATAAAAGCATAAATGATTTTTATCTTGTTGAGTATGCCTCATGCCCTACTATTCATGCAGCTCTTGTTACAGTGAACATATGATGGCATGCCAGTCAATATAGGAAATCACAGGTTTGATGATACCTGGATAATCCTGTTGGTAACACTTTCTCCTCTTGCATAATGAATCATAATTTATACAGTATGAATTTTATCCAGTAAGTATCAATATTCCAAGCTAGTACTGGTTTGATATATTCATATCCTGTGACTCATGTATGTGATGTCAGCAGCCTACTGGAAAAGAGAAGAAACAAGATTTTTGTAAGACCTTGCTATAACCATAAAGTATCAATAAAGACAGGTACCTTACATTCACATCTGAATATAACATAGAGTGAGACAGTGAGAAAGAGACAAAGAGCAACAGAAAAACAGAAACAGAGACATAGGCACACACACACAGAGAGACACATACACAGAGAACACATACATTCTTTAAATTTAATATTTCAAATCTATTATCCTCACTTAGACAATGGCAGTAGCAGTCTTTAGGACACAGATATATGAGATACTATTACATGATATTAATCCTATCGGGGATTAGTGAAAGCACATTCACTCACACCAGAGAGAGTGGCAATGGTAGACCAAAGTTAAAGAATCATCAAATTCCGTATTTGTGCTTATTGTGATCTTATTGTGCTTAAATGCACTAGTAGTAGGGAAAGGTTACAGACAAGAGAAGACATCACAGAAGGAGAGTTAGATCTCCTTAAGCTCAGTCCAGGATGGATGAAACCTCAGGGGAACTAGAAAACTACAGCACAACACATACTATGCCAGCAGCTCAAAGGTTGTGGAGCTGATTTTCAGTCAGTCTGATAGGCCTGACACTCTCCTAGTCCATCCAGCTGCTTCTCTGTCTCCTCCATGGAGCACAGCAGGCCTGGGAGTGTTTTGGTCAGCTCAACTTGTCTGGAAGTGTCTCCCTGCCGTCTTCCTAGTGCATACATTCTGGCGTGGAGAATCCTACTAAATGTGATGAATTTCAGGGTCTTCCTAAAGCTGTGGAACTGCTTCCTACCTCAGCTAAATGAGGTTCCCAGAAGAAGGGAATTTTTCATACCCTCTTAAAACATTTTGTTCATATCCCTTTTATGATTCTTTTTCTTACTAAGCAGCTCAATAAGATGGAAGGATATAATTTTAACGGAAATGGATAAACAAGAGATGTTTGACTTTGTAGAACCCCACATAAAGCATACTCTGTAAGATGATTCTACATGATTTTGACAAAACAAATGAGGAAATAAAGATTTAAGAAAATAAACATAAGAATACCACAAAAGACTAAGTAGAATCCTGAGAATCTTTTTCTGTTGCATGAAGACTGGAAATTTACAGTCACACAGAAAAAAACAATTAAGGAAAATATTCAACCAAATTATTAAATGTAGATTTTTTTACAAATTATCAAAAGCAAAAAATACATATCATGTTCAACACTGAATTTTCTATAACTCTTCAAATCATGATATGCAGCAACCACAGCATTCTATAAATGTAAATCATCTCACTATTGTGGAAGGCACTGTCTGTGAATTGTTTACATTATAAACACATGGACTTGAATTTGATCCTCAGAAGTGATGGCACCTGGTATAATGTCCTAAACTTAGCACTGGGGAGAAAGACACTCAAAGATTCCTGGATGTCTTTCCATTCTTTTTTATCCTAATTAGTGATGTTCAGCTTGGCGAGGCAACTTTTTAAAGTGAGGTTAACCGTATTTCTGAGAATGACGCCATGGCTTTTATTAGGCCAGTATAAGTGCACACATATGCTCACACACACACATAAATAAAGATATATAAACACCAAAGGTTGTGGTGTGTGTGTGTGTGTGTGTGTGTGTGTGTGTGCGCGCGCGCGCGCGCAAGCGTGCATTGGCGCGCAGGCACGCACGCGCATGCGTACCTATTCAACAAAAGTGTATGGATGTAACAGTTACAGCCTTAGTCTTACATCAGAACACCAGGAAAAAAAAAACTACTAACCCTAAAGAATTCCCTGATAATGACCACAGTGATAGTTGGTCATTAACTTTTCTGATGGTGAACTTAGAGCAAAGCTGTCTATGTGTAGGGGATCCTTAAACTAATAATATCAGTTTCTCTAATTTCATCAGAAATTATGTAAAAAAGAATTAGTAAAGGAAAATGAGCTTGATTTTGTTCTTTACCTTCTGCCAAAACTGGGAGAGAGTGCAAAATGTAAATTTCTCCTTCCACCCATGCCAGGGGACATCCTATAACTTCTAAAACTATTTAGGACACAGCTGAGTACATATCTAAGTCTGACTATGATGCTGAGAAATTGTCACTACCTTGAAGGTTATGTGACCTCCACATTGTCCCTGCTCTGATGCAGAAAAACAATTGCAGGATATAAGAACTTTAAATACCATTGATCTGCAGAGTTATACTCTGGGTAGACAAAGGATAGGAACTTCTCATCTTTTTGGATGTTGCTAATGAGCAAAACTGCTACATAACTAATGAATACATTATAATGTGTCAGTGAAAAAAAGTGATAGTTTGATAGCCAAGGAGTAGGGCACACTCATTTTGGCTAGATTATAATCAGAAATCAGAACTAAACCAGAGAATGGTGATTACCATAGAAATGTTATGAACGATCCAAGTATTTAAACAATCAAGATGGGCTGCGGGGGAAAAGTCTGTCTTTGGAATCTAAGTGTCACAATAATGGCTTTAAGTCAAGTAGATACTAAGGCATCAAAGTATACTATGAAAATATCCCTCTTGTATTAAGAATATGAAAGGAGCCGGGCGGTGGTGGTGCACGCCTTTAATTCCAGCACTCGGGAGGCAGAGGCAGGTGGATCTCTGTGAGTTCAAGGCCAGCCTGGGCTACCAAGTGAGTTCCCGGAAAGGCGCAAAGCTACACAGAGAAACCTTGTCTCGAAAAAACAAAAACAAAAACAAACAAAAAAAAGAATATGAAAGGGAATGGGTTATGTTGATTTATGTTTATATAATATAGAAGTTTACTTCAGGGTGATTTATAGAAAAACTTACATTATTGTAAGTAAAGGGAGATGTTAAGATGGAAATTTTAAAGTCATTATTGGGCCTCTAAGTAAATAGATCTTTATTAATTAACAGGTTGTAGTCACCAGACTTCTGTAGTTCATGACTCATCCCTTAAGGAAGCTTGAGGGTTCAGTGAAAGTAGTAGAACCTAGAAGGATGTGGTCCTAATTGACCCCGTAATGCACCTAAGCATCCCCTCAATATTTTTTTTAAATTTTGAGGTGCAGTAAAATTCAAAATTCCAAGATGAGGCATATAGTATAATGGCAGATTATAGATAGCTGGAATAGTTTCTCCTGTACATTCTCACATAATCAACTTTCTCCATTAATAGTTGATAAACATAAGTGTTTTTTCCTCCTCCATTAGACTTTGTTATAATTTTATTTGTATTCTTACAGATTATCAATATCAATAAAGTTCACATTAACTAAAAACTGTCTACCATTTCTAATTTCTCCATGAAATAGAGCTATGCTCTGAATGTCTTACTGGTTTTGTAAAACATCTTGAAAAACAATAAACCCAGTGGTGAAAATAAAATTGGGACTCATGAGGCACAGAAAAAGAAAAGCCATATATATATATATATATATATATATATATATATATATATATATATTAAAATCCCAGTGTCAAAGTTGGTTTCTTATCTAGATCTTTTTCCTTAGGTACATGATACCAAAACTTTATCCATGTTGCTGCTTCTGTTGTTATTTGCACAGCAGAAATAAATGGTTAGTCCAATTGCTAAAGAAATTGAATATTTTGCTCAAGTAAAATAAACCTTTTGAGCTTCTATGATATAGGATCTATTACAACTTGGAATAACTTTCATGGTGATCCTGGTCACTATATAGACAATTTCAGCATAATTACCTAAAATTGCTATAATTCAGTGACAGGATACAGCCATCAGCAACATTGATAGAGTTTAGTAAGTAGGAAAACCATGGCACAGCAGTTGCCATTGCAACCTACAATTATCAGATATATTCTAAGTCTCAAGACACATAAAGCAATCAATATCTTATATTTTAAGACAGCAAAAATAAGGTGCCTAAAAATGTCATGATCTGCATTTATAAGTAGACTTTTCATTAATGGGTATGAAGTTCTTGTCAAAATGCCTTCTAAACATTTGTGTTTAGACCTGTTGATTACTGGAAGTATTTACTAATTTATTGAGATAAATATTTTACAGTGTTAATGGTTGACTTATGTGGAGATAGGGTACATTATGGAAAACATTTATCATTACCAGAAACACTAGGAAATATTGCAGAAGACACGACAGACATATAAGACATTTAACTAGGGAAAATAATTGAGGAATAAGTCTTTTCTCCTGCTTACCTGAAAATACAAAACCAATGAACAGAGGTGGTTTTTCTGATTTAGAGAATGACTTGCATTCTATAGACCATCTGGGGAAAATGCAGTGTGACACATATTGATATATAACTGTGGTAAATGTAAATAGGATGTTAATAAACCCTGAGGGAAGAATGTGGCAGATTTATAGACACAGATTAAATCTGGCCCCCAGCTAGGTCTGGCTTTGGCTACAATCTGGTGGTATATATGGGAGGTGGAAAGTTGACTGAAGGCAGCACTCAGGTGAAGCAGCTTTCCCGAGTTGAAGTTCATTCTGTGGTGGATCATCTCCAAGATGCCACTTGCTTTGACTTTACCAAGCTCTGGTAAGTAGCCATTTACTGGGTACCTCTTAGAGTCTATGTAATCCTTAGTGTATATTACATCAAGTTTGTTTGTAGAGTAGATTTTCTTTGGTCTGATCTGCTATGTATTTTGGAGGGGACTAATATTTGGTTATGCTTAATCTAGAGACAAGTCAGCTCACAGCTGAAAGACCTCTCTATATTCTACTTTCGTGATTAAGTTTGAGCTCAGATTTTTTAAATA